TGTCCCCCCAGACCCAGAACCCTGAGCTGAGGCACATCCCAGTTACCTGAGTGAGGGGGTGTCCCTGTGTGCCCCCAAATGTCCCTAAATGCCCCCAAATGTCCCCAAATGTCCCCCCAGACCCAGAACCCCGTGCTGAGGCACATCCCAGTTACCTGAGAGAGGGGGTGTCCCCAAATGTCCCCAATGTCCCCAAATGTCCCCAATGTCCCCTGTGACCCCCCAGTGTTCCCCCAGTGTCCCCAAATGTCCCCGCAGACGCAGAACCCCGTGCTGAGGCACATCACCGACTACCTGATCGAGGAGGTCTCTGCAGAGGAGGAGGAGCTGCTGGGGCAGGGGCAGGGCCAGGGCCAGGGCCAGGGGCAGGGCCAGGGGGGGGCCACCAACCCCCCCGAGGACGGGGCCCGGGAGAGCAACCCCGCCGAGGTCACCGTGGAGAGGGACGAGAAGCTGCTCAAGGTGAGACCCCTGAGACCCCCCTGTCACCCCTGACCCCCCCTGTCACCCCTGTCACCCCTGAGACCCCCCGTGTCACCCCTGACCCCCCAACCCCACCGAGGTCACCGTGGAGAGGGATGAGAAGCTGCTCAAGGTGAGACCCCTGAGACCCCCCTGTCACCCCTGAGACCCCCCTGTCACCCCTGACCCCCCCTGTCACCCCTGACCCCCCCATCACCCCTGAGACCCCCCTGTCACCTCTGACCCCCCTGAGTCACCCCCGACCCCCCCATCACCCCTGACCCCCCCATCACCCCTGACCCGCCTGAGTCACCCCCGACCCCCCCATCACCCCTGACCCCCCTGTGTCACCCCTGTCTCTGTCACACCCCCGACCCCCACGACCCCTCTGTGGCCCCCCGTGACCTCCCCACTGTCCCTGTGACCCCCCGTGACCTCTGAGGCCCCCCAAATGTCCCTGAGACCCCCCAAAATGTCCCTGTGCCCCCCTGTGACCCCAATAACCCCCCCAGGTGCTGGACAAGCTGCTGCTGTACCTGCGGATCCTCCCCTGTCCCTGTCACACCCCTGAGCCCTGTGACCCCCCTGTGACCCCCTGTGACCCCCAAAATGTCCCTGTGACCCCCCTGACCCCCCAAATGCCCCTGTGCCCCCCTGTGACCCCAATAACCCCCCCAGGTGCTGGACAAGCTGCTGCTGTACCTGCGGATCCTCCCCTGTCCCTGTCACACCTCTGAGCCCTGTGACCCCCTGTGACCTTCCCAATGTCCCTGTGCCCCCCTGAGACCCCCAAAATGTCCCTGTGACCCCCTGTGACCCCCCTGTGCCCCCCAGGTGCTGGACAAGCTGCTGCTGTACCTGCGGATCGTGCACTCGGTGGATTATTACAACACCTCCGAGTACCCCAACGAGGACGAGATGCCCAATCGCTGCGGGATCATCCACGTCAGGGGGCCCCTGCCCCCCAACAGGGTCTCACACGGGGAGGGTGGGTCTGAAAACCCCAAAAACACCCCAAAACCCCCGAAAAAACACCCCCAACCCCCCCCAGGATATCCCAAACCCACCCAGGATATCCCAGACCCACCCAGGATATCCCAAACCCCCCCAGGATATCCCAAACCCACCCAGGATATCCCAAACCCCCCCAGGATATCCCAAACCCCCCAATCGCTGCGGGATCATCCACGTCAGGGGGCCCCTGCCCCCCAACAGGGTCTCACACGGGGAGGGTGGGTCTGAAAACCCCAAAAACACCCCAAAACCCCCGAAAAAACACCCCCAAACCCCCCCAGGATATCCCAGACCCACCCAGGATAGCCCAGAACACACCCAGGATATCCCAAACCCCCCCAGGATATCCCTAACCCGACACAGGATATCCCAAACCCCCCCAGGATATCCCAAACCCACCAATCGCTTGCGGGATCATCCACGGCAGGGGGCCCCTTCCCCCCAACGGGTCTTCACACGGGGAGGGTGGGTTCTGAAACCCCAAAACACCCCAAAAACCCCCGAAAAACCCCCCAAACCCCCCAGGAATACCCAGACCCCCAGATATCCCAAAAAAAAACCCCCCAGGATATCCAAACCCCCCCAGTCACTGGGGGATCATCCACGTCAGGGGGCCCCTGCCCCCCAACAGGGTCTCACACGGGGAGGGTGGGTCTGAAAACCCCAAAAAACACCCCCAAAAACCCCCAAAAAACCACCCCAAAACCCCCCCCAGAACACCCCAAACCTCCCTGGGGGCCCCCAGAACCCTTCCTGGTGGGTCCCAGTGATCCCAGTGATCCCATTATCCCATTATTCCCATTATCCCCAGTGCTGGAGTGGCAGAGGGGGTTCGAGGCCCAGCTCTCCCCACTCCTGGCGGGTCCCAGTGATCCCATTATCCCATTATTCCCACTATTCCCAGTTCTGGAGTGGCAGAGGGGGTTTGAGGCCCGGCTGTCAGTGATCCCAGTGATCCCATTATTCCCATTATTCCCAGTTCTGGAGTGGCAGAGGGGGTTCGAGGCCCGGCTGTCCCCCCTCCTGGCGGGTCCCAGTGATCCCAGTGATCCCATTATTCCCACTATCCCCAGTTCTGGAGTGGCAGAGAGGATTTGAGGCCCGTCTGTCCCCGCTCCTGGCGGGTCTCAGTGATCCCATTATTCCCATTATCCCATTTTCCCAGTTCTGGAGTGGCAGAGAGGATTTGAGGCCCGGCTGTCCCCGCTCCTGGCGGGTCCCAGTGATCCCAGTGATCCCATTATTCCCATTATCCCCAGTTCTGGAGTGGCAGAGGGGGTTTGAGGCCCGGCTGTCAGTGATCCCAGTGATCCCAGTGATCCCATTATCCCATTATTCCCAGTTCTGGAGTGGCAGAGAGGATTTGAGGCCCGGCTGTCCCCCCTCCTGGCGGGCCCCAGTGATCCCATTATTCCCATTATCCCATTTTCCCAGTTCTGGAGTGGCAGAGGGGGTTCGAGGCCTGGCTGTCAGTGATCCCAGTGATCCCATTATTCCCATTATCCCATTTTCCCAGTTCTGGAGTGGCAGAGGGGGTTTGAGGCCCGGCTCTCCCCCCTCCTGGCGGGTCCCAGTGATCCCAGTGATCCCAGTGATCCCATTATCCCACTATCCCCAGTTCTGGAGTGGCAGAGAGGATTCGAGGCCCGGCTGTCCCCCCTCCTGGCGGGCCCCAGTGATCCCAGTGATTCCATTATTCCCATTATCCCCAGTTCTGGAGTGGCAGAGGGGGTTCGAGGCCCGGCTGTCAGTGATCCCAGTGATCCCATTATCCCATTATCCCCAGTTCTGGAGTGGCAGAGAGGGTTCGAGGCCCGGCTGTCAGTGATCCCAGTGATCCCAGTGATCCCAGTGATCCCATTATTCCCATTATTCCCAGTGTTGGAGTGGCAGAGAGGATTTGAGGCCCGGCTGTCCCCGCTCCTGGCGGGCCCCGGGGCCGTTCCCGAGGAGGAGGCCCAGAGGTTGGGCCGCAAGGACCCCGAGCAGGAGCTGGAGAAGTTCGTCAGCGCCAACACCCAGGAGCTGGGCAAGGACAAGTGGCTGTGCCCCCTCAGCGGGAAGAAGTTCAAGGTACGGGGGGATTTGGGGGGATTTGGGGTCGTTTGGGGTCGTTTGGGGTCACTGGGCACTGCCCAGGTCACACCCAGGAGCTGGGCAAGGACAAGTGGCTGTGCCCCCTCAGCGGGAAGAAGTTCAAGGTAGGGGGGGATTTTGGGGGATTTGGGGGCATTTGGGGTCATTTGGGACAGGCCAGGGGTCATTTGGGGTCACGCTCAGGGACACGGGGCTGAGCCCCCTCAGCAGGGAGGAGTTCAAGGTACGGGGGGATTTGGGGCTTTTGGGGCCATTTGGGGTCACAGGGGACCCCCAGGTCACACCCCAAGATGTCTGGGACACCCCTGATGTCCCCAGTGTCCCTTTGGGGTCCCCAATGTCTGTGATGTCCCCAATGTCCCCACTGATGTCCCCAGTGTCCCTTTAGGGCCCCGAGTTCGTGAGGAAGCACATCTTCAACAGGCACTGGGACAAGATGGGGCTGTGCTGTCCCCAGTGATGTCCCCAATGTCCCTTTGGGGTCCCCAATGTCCCTTTGGGGTCCCCAATGTCTGTGCTGTCCCCAGTGATGTCCCCAATGTCCCTTTGGGGTCCCTGATGTCCCCAATGTCCCTTTGGGGTCCCCAATGTCCCTTTGGGATCCCCAATGTCTGTGATGTCCCCAATGTCCCTTTGGGGTCCCTGATGTCCCCAATGTCCCTTTGGGGTCCCCAATGTCTGTGATGTCCCCAATGTCCCCAATGATGTCCCCAATGTCCCTTTGGGGTCCCCAATGTCCCTTTGGGGTCCCCAATGTCTGTGCTGTCCCTTTAGGGCCCCGAGTTCGTGAGGAAGCACATCTTCAACAGGCACTGGGACAAGATGGGGGCTGTGCTGTCCCCAATGTCCCTTTGGGGTCCCCAATGTCCCTTTGGGGTCCCTGATGTCCCTTTGGGGTCCCCGATGTCCCTTTGGGGTCTCTGATGTCCCCAATGTCCCTTTGGGGTCCCCAATGTCCCTTTGGGGTCCCTGATGTCCCTTTGGGGTCCCTGATGTCCCTTTGGGGTCTCTGATGTCCCCAATGTCCCTTTGGGGTCCCCAATGTCTGTGCTGTCCCCAATGTCCCTTTGGGGTCCCCAATGTCTGTGATGTCCCCAATGGTGTCCCTGATGTCCCCCATGTCCCTTTGGGGTCCCCGATGTCCCTTTGGGGTCCCCGATGTCCCTTTGGGGTCCCTGATGTCCCCAATATCTCTTTAGGGCCCGGAGTTTGTGAGGAAGCACATCTTCAACAAGCACTCGGACAAGATGGGGGCTGTGCTGTCCCCAATGTCCCTTTGGGGTCCCCAATGATGTCCCTGATGTCCCTTTGGGGTCCCTGATGTCCCCAATGTCTCTTTAGGGCCCCGAGTTCGTGAGGAAGCACATCTTCAACAAGCACTCGGACAAGATGGGGGCCGTCAGGAAGGAGGTTTTGTTCTTCAACAACTTCCTGATGGACCCGAAGCGCCCGGCCCTGCCCGAGGGCAAAGGGGGGCCCCCCCCGGGACCCAACGCAGGTCAGGGACCCCAAAAACCCCCCAAAAACACCCCAAAACCCCCCCAAAAACCCCCTAAACCCCCTGGGATCCCCAGAAACCCCCCTGTCACCCCTGGCCCTGCCCGAGGGCAAAGGGGACCCCCCCAGGACCCAACACAGGTCAGGGACCCCAAAACACCCCAAAAACACCCCAAAAAACCCCTGCTCACCCCCCAGCCCTGCCCGAGGGCAAAGGGGGGCCCCCCCCGGGACCCAACGCAGGTCAGGGACCCCAAAAACACCCCAAAAACACCCCAAAACCCCCCCAAAAACCCCCTAAACCCCCCCATCACCCCAGCCCTGCCCGAGGGCAAAGGGGGGCCCCCCCCGGGACCCAACGCAGGTCAGAGACCCCAAAACCCTCCTTGGGACCCCCCAAAACCCCCTGGGACCCCCAGAAACCCCCCTGTCACCCCCTGGCCCTGCCCGAGGGCAAAGGGGGGCCCCCCCCAGGACCCAACGCAGGTCAGAGACCCCAAAAACACCCCAAAACCACCCCAAAAACCACCCCTGGGACTCCCTTATTACCCCCCTGCCCCCCCCATGGGACCCCCAGCTCACCCTCCCGGGGTTGGAGACCCCCCAACCCCCCCCCAGGGTCCCTTCACCCCCCCTTAACCCCTCCCCAACCCCCCAAAACCCCCCCCAAAATCCCCCAACCCCCCCCAAAATCCCCCCCTAACCCCCCCTGTGCCCCCAGGTCTGGCCCCGGGGGGGCTCCCGTACCCCCCCCAGACCCCGCAGGGGTTGATGCCCTACGGGCAACCCCGGCCCCCCATGCTGGGCTACGGAGGTAGGGGGGGCCGGGGGGGCTGGGGGGGATTTAGGGGGAG